CTCAGACTGGCATCCTACAAGTGGAAGTCTTTGATGTATGGGGAATCGACTTCATGGGACCATTTCCATCCTCATTCGGAAACAAATATATACTCGTGGCTGTAGATTACGTTTCAAAATGGATTGAAGCAATAACTTCTCCAACAAACGATACTAGAGTCGTGATTAAACTATTCAAAACCATTATATTCCCAAGGTTTGGTGTACCCAAACAAGTTATAAGCGACGGTGGCTCCCACTTCATATCACGAATCTTTGATAAACTCCTAACCAAATATGGGGTGAGGCACCGCATCGCAACACCATACCACCCCCAAACAAGCAGACAGGTGGAAGTCTCAAATCGAGAAATAAAACAAATACTGGAAAAACTGTTGCCACTTCAAGAAAGGATTGGTCAGCTAAGTTACCTGACGCATTATGGGCCTACAGGACGGCATTCAAGACACCGATAGGTACAACACCCTTTAAACTCATATATGGAAAATCATGCCACCTGCCAGTGGAAATTGAACACAAAGCTTACTGGGCAATTAAAACTTTAAACCTAAGCTATACTGCGGCAGGAGAGAAAAGGATCCTCGAGATAAATGAATTAGAAGAACTAAGATTAGATGCATATGAAAATGCAAGGATCTACAAAGAAAGGACAAAAAAATGGCATGACAAACGTATCTCAAGGAAAGAATTCAATGAAGGAGATGTAGTACTCCTATTCAACTCTCGTCTGAAACTGTTCCCTGGAAAACTCCGTTCACGATGGTCTGGACCATTCGAAGTAACCAAAGTTTTCCCCAGTGGTGCCATAGAAATCAAAGGAAAATCCATGAATCCATTCTTAGTAAACGGCCAACGCCTAAAGCATTATTACAGCGTCGAAAATAAGGATTACACCGCGAGCTTAACGCTATTAGAGCTACCGCACCAATTTAATAACTAATTCACGTCTAACAACAAATGTCAAGCTAACGACATTAAACAAGCGCTGTGTGGGAGGCAACCCACAATTTTTTTAATTATTATTATCTCTCAAATATCTTTATCTTTTATTTTTTTTTTCTATTTTTTCCATTTCTGCATTCTGATTTTTACTTTCCGATTTTTTCCTTTTTCTTTCTTTCTCCCACAACATATTTTACTCATTTGCATTTTTCTTTTCCAAATTTTAGTACCGATTCACAAGAACCTACAAGCTAAAATTCATGGATACTATCATTTTTGCCTCGGAGACTCAGCAGAGACGATATGAGATTCTGGCTCAACGCCAGATGAGTATGACCACGTATGTGCATGATCCCACCTTGACAGCCTCAGGAATCAGGGAAAGTGTCTATTTCATGTTTAACCAGATAGGATGGGAGGGGTTCCTAGCCCATAAACACCCTACACACCAACGCCTCACCTTGGAGTTCTTGAGCTCCCTCATCTATAAACCCACACAAGGCTTAGGGCGTAGTAGAGGTCAGATGTTCTTTAGATTGTTCGGTTTCACCCACCAGTTTACAGTTTGCAGTCTAGCTCAGCTGCTAGGATTCCCTAGCTCTTTAGACGCCCACATGGAAACCCAGGCGGATGAGTACCTCAACTTTGAGCTTAATCACTTTTGGAGAGACATAGCGGGCCAATATCCCGAGGACCCCGACCACCTTGATGCCACCGAGATTCATAACCCTACTATTCGGTATTTCCATCACATTTTAGCTTTCACATTTTTTGGAAAACCTATTAATCAAATCTCGGTTTCTAGGGATGAGTTGTTCATCATTTACTGTGCTTTTCAGACCAGACCAGTCATTGGCGCATCATTCATGATCGCCAACATGTCAGCTATAGCTCAGTGTACCCATGGCCCCATATGTGTCAGCGGGCTAGTCACCATGATAGTCGAGGCCCTATCCCTACGGTCATCTCTGTCGCGCCTTACACCGTACGCTAGATATTATACCATGGACATCCCTTTTTGCTTTAACATTTCCTTGATTGGTAACCTCAGCCCACCTCACTTTCAGCTGCTTGTCCAACGTAACCCTGTCTATTGCTTCAAATTGCCTAGCCCCGAGCATACCAGTGTCTATACCAAGACAAATTGGCTATATCCCCTAGAGAAGACAGACGAACACGACCCTGAGAGGGAGGAGAGCGACCCATCTACACCAACAGGTTACCACGATTATACACCTTTGGATTACCCTACACTACCCCTTGTTACTACAACTGATGACATACCCATGCCTGATCATGCACATACGATCAAGACTCTGCAGACAAATGTTACCACACTCCGAGGCGAGCTCGACACTGTTAAAGATAATGTCAGCACACTTCGGCGTGACTTCTTTCATTTCATGGACGTCGTCACAGAGCAGTTTGACCATATTTATCAACATCTGCATGCTTCTGCACCACCTCCTGGAGGCCCTCATGCTTGATAGTTTTTCTGTACCGCCCCAGTGAGGACACTGTTTGTTCTTAGTATGGGGGGGGGGGGGGGGGGGTTCATTGTTTTTCATTATTATTATTCTCAAACTCATTATGGTTTTAATTATTTTCGAATAATAGATTACTTTTCGGTCCTAAAATTTTATCCATATCCATTTTATTTATTTCTATTTACAAAGTATGCATTCATTTTTTGCAATTTCTGTTATTATTTTCATTTGTTCTTAATTTCTATTTTTATTATCATCTGTTTTTTTATTTTATTTTTGTTACCATCTTTATTTGCTTCTTATTTACCATATCATTTTTCCAACTATACAATATGCTACTAATCCCTTGCAATACACTTCTCAAAATTGAAATTAATTAATTACTTTAGTGGAGCACGCATTCAAAGCAGTCAAAGAGACCAACATGACCTGACTCTGACGAACGTCAGTATGCATGTGATGAACGTCAGGGTGTGTCTTTGACTCTGATGAGCGTCAGGAAGCGTGTGACGGTCGGTAGACAATGTCCCCCACGCTTTTCAATCCCGTGACCGTTGATAGCATTGATGCACGAAAAATTTATATTAAAATTCCACCACCCCATTTACTCCACTTACCCATAACCTCCCAAATTTCAAAATTCTCCCATAAACACCATTAAATTTCTTACTCCACAAAACCATCTATATAAACCCTCCCCTTCCATCCTTAGTTACATCACTACCACTCCCTTTCCATCTCTCTACCACATATACATTTTTTTTCTATCAAGTTCAACACTCATGGCCAACCAACCCGAACCCGACATGCGACATCTCGTGCTCCGACAAGGAGAAGCCGGTGAGCTTCAAAAAGAGAGGTACATAAAATTCCATCACCGAGGGCTAACATCCACACGGTTCGTTGACAACACTTGCTTGCAAGAATTAGGCTTGCAACCTCATATGGAAGGCTTGCTGAATAAAGCTGGCCTAAGCTTTATTAGCACGATGAACCACACCAACTTACGAAGCTCTCACGTTGGAATTCTTGAGTTCCTACGCATATCACACCCGAGAAGATGCAGACGCACACCTAACGGGAGCCGCTCATTTTCGGATGTTCAACCGAGAGTACCAACTCAACCATGAAATTTTGAGCGACATATTTCATTTTCCCCGAGGGAATAATGTGCAATACCGCATACCCCCCGAATTGGATTGGAATGGAAGTGCATACGCACTATGGGAGAGAATAACCGGCGAACCAAATGTCACACCCGAAGCACGGTACGCCTCTCACATCTACAACCCGAACATCCGCTTCTTACACCGTGTTATGGCAAACACAATATTCAGAAGGGAAAACAACAACAAGGTAAACACTAAAGAATTATATGCTCTCCACTGTACCTTTTCGCAAAACGTCCGTCTTAATCCTGTCACTTTAATGATGGCCCATATTCAAAACCTCGTTGCAAGAGAAGGGACCACACCTTTTTGCATCGGAGGCATCGTCACTGCCATCGCAGTTCACTTGAACTGGGGGGAAAGGATCCAACTCCTACCTCCACTGCCAGCAATTTTTATGGACATTGATAACTGTAGAGCTGGCCGCCTGATTAAAGTACGAGAAGCTAGAGGATACTATCTCATGGTTAAGAATGCAAGACTTCATAGTGTGATTATGCCAAATCATAATCGTACTTACTTGGGTAATCCGGATAACTGGCTTTACAACCTGAACGCCCCTGAACCCGGAGAAAATGTCCAAGGGAATCAAGGTCAGGCTAACAACGCTGCCGCTGACGAAATCGAAGAAGAATTAGAGCAGCAAGAGCCCTAACCACAGCAAGCCAACAATCCCGCCACTATCGATGCAATATATGCCGCGATAATGCAACAAAACCAGCTGTCCACTCAACGCCACCAGAGTATCGAGACGCGCCAAATCGAGATGATGACTCTCATGCAACAAATGCAGAGAGACCAAAATGACTATGCTTGCAGGCACGATCAAAGTATGCTGGAATTCACCACCGGAATAACGGCAGATATGCGAGCCTTAACACTCCGTGTTGACGACTTTCATAATATCATATCCCAAAGAGATGGCGGCGAATCTTCCAGACATGGCGGGCAAGCACCACTAGTGCAGAAATGACTTTTTACATCGGGTGAAACTAACTTTTTACATCGGTTCTGGGTCCGATGTAAAGTCAGGCGATATAGTAAATCAGGGACTTTTTACATCGGTTCTGGGACCGATGTAAAAAGTCCCTTTTTTACATCGGTTATAATATAAGAACCGATGTAATAAACAATTATTATGCACATTTTTTTAAAAAATTGATCCAGTTTTTTACATCGGTTGGAAGTAACACCCGATATAAAAAGTTCCTTTTTTACATCATTTATAATATAAGAACCGATGTAATAAACAATTATTATGCACATTTTTTAAAAAATTGATCCAGTTTTTTACATCGGTTGGAAGTAATACCCGATGTAAAAAGTCTTTTTTTTACATCGGTTATAATATATGAACCGATGTAAGAAACAGTTATTATGCACTTTTTTTTTAAAAATTGATCTAGTTTTTTACATCGGTTGGAAGTAATACCCGATAATCTTCAGGCATGGTGGTTGCTTCAATCTAATACAGTACAAATAAATCTGTGAGAAATTACAATGGTAGTGTAGAGCATTTCTACAAGTATTATTCTTGACCAAGTGATTATGGAGGATAAAAATTAAAAACCAAACTGAAAATTGAACCGAGAGGACTTGTGGAGTATGGTTCAACTTCCTTAAACCGCTCAAACTGGAACGAAACCGTGATCGAATTGTCAAAATTATCTAACTTTATAAAGTACTACTCAAGCTTTCATTTGGTTGAACGGTTTGGTTCGGTTCGGTTTTCAAAACATTGATTAAAACATACTAGAAACCAACTGAAAGCAATGATTTAATTTAATCAGCTACCTCTTCATCAATTCTCTTCCATGTCAAAGACATATCCATCACGGACTTGGAACATATGGGACAACAGAATCTGAGCCATATACCAGTTCGAATAATTATTTAAGCAGAAATAATGTTTTAATAAACCAAACGATTGTCAAATAGTTAGTATATACTCACTTGTCGCGCTTTAGCATTTCTTGAAAGCATTCACCATGCATTGTGTGACCGCATTTCATAACATGAGTGTCTTTCAATGAGTCAAAAAGGTACTGTAACAACAAAATAAATTCACATCATAATACTTTCATGCTTCCGACAACATATGAATTTGTTGTTTAAGTGAAAACCCCCGATATAAGGAAAGGAAGGAAAAATATGCACCTCATAACAAATTGGACAATGATGCCTCATTGAGTTCTCCACGCATAAATGATTATCACGCAGAGCAATTGAATAGCAAGACCCTGTCAAAATGGAGCAATATATTTGTCATGTAAGAAAATTATTTTGGAAGCTAAAAAGATAAGACAAATTCATGTTAGAATGAGAATCAACAGCCAATAGAGTTATTAAATTCAATTCACAATAGTGCTTTTGAACTTCTGGAGTCACTAAGGAAGATGGTAAGCTTATTTGAAAAAATAAAAATGTAAAATCAACAATATCGAAAAAATGAAAGCCTTGTGATGAACGCATACCGCACTTCTTGCAATGGAAATAATTCTCACTCCCGCCAACTCTATTACCATATTACATAACCAAAATTAGTTGGCATCTCGTAAATTTGGGTAACCTAAGGGACTATTTAGTCGAATAAAGTTAATGTACCTGCAGATCCCACAATCATCACAATGAAACTGTTGTTTCCCGTCTGTATAATGAAGTGAACAACAATAAACATCAAATCGAAAACAATACCGTTAAGATTTATCAAGTCATAATGAAAAGGAAAAACTTAAATCAGATACTATAGATTTACTGTAAATCATTACATCATCATCAAAGAATCTGCAGATGTCACAGAAATATTCCCCCATTCTAATACCACAGTTAGTGCAAACTTGAGCAACCTTCAAAACAAACATTTAAAACAACAATCAGAAAAGAAACAAAAAATACTAGAGATTCAAATCAAGCTTTGAATAGATAGATATATACGGGTTGCTCTGTGTCACAAACCGAACAAACAACCTGAAAAAACAACAAGATGCAAACAAGAGAACAAATAAGTGAAGAATGTGACTTACAGTTGAAACAGAGAGCGAGGAAGGGCGTGAATCGGTCGGTGAAAAGTCGTGAACGGCGTGAACGGAATGAACGACGTGAAACGGCGGCAAGGAGACGTAATCAAATTTCAACAAACCGCATCATCTATGTTCATCAAACAAATCTGCAAATTCACAACAAAAATCATCATCAATGGCGGTCGAAAACGATGAAACACGAACGAACAGAACCACCGCGGTCGAAGACGACGACCAGAAACGGCGGAAACACAAACGGAAACCACCGCGGTCGAAGATGACGACCGGAAACGGCGGTCGAAGAACCTTTGTGAACGGAAACGTCGATGATGGTGGCTGGGAAACGGCGGTGGTAACGTTTGTGAAACAACGGTCGTAAGGGTCGTATGCGTACAGTGGAAAGGAGTGAAACGGCGGCTACGGAATATTGTACAGTGGAAATATTGAAATATTTTGAATTTGGGAAATAAGGGTTTGGAAGCTATTACCTCGGTGGAAATGAATACCCGATATAAGGGTTGGCTTAGTGGAGAAGCTATTACATCGGTGGATCCTAATAACCGATGTAAGGGTTTTGAACCTATTACATCGGTGGATACTAATAACCGATGCAAGCTTTTTTTTCTGACTTTTTTACATCGGTTTAAACTTCCACCGATGTAATATGTTGTGAAGATATTAATTTATTCTTTAATTTATTTTTTATATTAATATCTGTTGTGAAGATATTACATCGGTTATAGTTAACCGATGTAATATGTTGCATGTTTTTTATTAATATTTCTACTACCTTGTTTCTTATTTACAAAAATGCCACCGTATTTTTTTTTGAAAACTTTTTACATCGGTGGATGCGTTTGCCCGATGTAATAGGTAGCGAAATATATTTTTTTTCTTATTTTTTATATCATTGCAAATAAATACCTCATGTAAAAAGTGTTAATTGTATTTTTTACATCATATATTTTGATACCCGATGTAAAAACCTTTTCTCAAATGTCTTTTTTTTAGTAGTGCACGTCGAAGAGCAAGGACACGTGGCCGATACCAAAGACAAGAGGAGGAAGAATGATTATCCAATTTCCATTTCCCCTTTCCCGCTTCTATCAATACATTGAGGACAATGTATGATTCAAGTATGGGGGAGGAAGTATTTCCCTTTTTTTCTAGTAATTTTTATTTTCCTTGTAATTTCCCTTCTGTTATCTTAAATTCAATAAAAAAATTTTTCAAGTCATCTATTGCAGCAATTTGTGTTGTTCTTTTAGACTCCCCTTTCTTTTTTGAGCCCATAAATTTTTTTTTCTCTCACTCGACAAGTAAATAGACTGTAAAATCTTTAATCATCAGGAATTGGGGCGAGATTAAGCGAAATTTCTACCGTTTAGACACTCTACAACCCCAGAGTATGATAGATCAGTTCAAGTACCCGTTGTTTCCAACACCCTGAGTTTAGTCTTTATAGTAACCTTGAGTAGTTTATATTAGCAGTCAGCACCGTCTTAAACACAAACTACGCAGGAAGTCGATGAATATATGTGGATGATAGAATATTTCAGCAAAATGTTGCAAGGAAACACACTGATTAAATTGGACGATCCTCACCCGATCGCCTAATCCAAAGGATGTAAACCTTACAAAGTAACATGAAAATTCATTTGATGGATGGTTCAAGAGCATCTGGTACTGAACTCGGTAGGGCAGATTACGGTCTGATCCCCCGCATCCAACATTTGAATTAAAGGTTGCCACATTACTGTGCCAGAAACCTCTAAAAGTTTAAAAGAATCATAACCACTAACTGACTGTTCTGCTATGTGCGTGTGAAGATAAAGGGCTTAATGTGATTGTGCTAGAATGAAAAAGGCAAAACAAGACAAATACTCGAGGTAGGCTATGATAGGACCTGTAACTAGTTTACGTAAAATGGGACTGTCTAGCGTCGCCGGCGTAGTTATGGAGCACAAATCAAACCACCGATTTTCTGACAAAAACACAATGCAGCTATATATTAGTCGATCCGAGTCATAACCATGTTTAGAAAAACATCGTACTTAGCATTTGCTTGAGGACAAGCAAAGTTTAAGTATGGGGGAGTTTGATGACACACAAATATGTGATATTTCTGGCTTGATATACACCAAATATTTCTCATATTTTAGTTTGAATTAAATTATTTTATAAGTATTATGCAGATATTTTTCTATTTTTGCAGATATGCACTGAGTCGAACACTTTTGAAGAAATGAAGAAAAAAGGGTGCAAAAAGTAGTAAAAGAGCCTAAGGAAGAAGAAACCAGCCCAAAAGCCCATTACAAGTGTGAGCACGTGGCCCACAAGCCCTGACGACCGTCAAGGGGACGTGACGAACGTCACGCTCCATGAAGACCAAGTGACGATAGTCACTTGCGTGTGATGAACGTCACAGCCTATCACCCCACTTTATCCTCATCCAACGGACAGAAACACGTTCAAAGGTTAATCCAACGAGTTCCTACATTCTCTCACCCACTCAGTCAAAAGAGCAACGAACGTGACAATTAAATGGCCTATTATTTCTCAAGGAAGAAAAGTGAACCGTTCCTACATTTTCGAGAGCAACGAATTAAGCAAGCACTATAAATAGAGCCTGAGACCACAGTAGAAAGGGTTCTGCTTTTTGACGAGAAAGTTTAGAGAATTTATTAAGCAGATATTATTTTTAGGAGAATATTATTTTTCAGCATTATTTTCTTTTCAGCATTATTTTCTTTTCCCAGTTATTTCTTTCCAGCATTATTCTTTCAGCATTATTTTCTTCTGTACGGTTAAATATATTCTCCGATCGAAGCAAAGCCTACAATTTGTGCAGGAGTGCTTCTGTCTTCAGAGTTATTACCAGGTTTATGTTTACAAATTCTTATTGCTTATTAATTAATATAATTATGTTTATTTGTGTTTGTCCTTTATATTATTCTGCGATTTGGTTTAATATTATGTCAGGCTAGAAATCTTATACCGGTATGTAAAGTCAATCAGCCGAGGGAACGAGTAACTTAGTCAGACTATTTTTACTAAGAAACTTTCTTTTCTGGCCTAAGTTACTATTTTTCAAATCATTAAATTGTTTTGTTCCGGAAGTAAAAAACAGATAGAGGTTAGGATCAACAAAGCGGAAGTTTGAGATCTTTTAACTGGACAGTAGTAATTAGGCATTGGCTTAAAATACAGCGGAAGCACTTTAAAGTTAATTAAGATTTTGTTTAGTTTCCAAAAAGTGTTTTTAACTCCTGCGGGATGGCGGAAGCGTACGTTAGGACTTAACTGCATAGCCTAGATTAACAAAACGACAGTGTGAGATGAGGGTTTTTAAACTAGATAGGTTTTACTGAAAACTATTTTGAAAATATAAAGACGCCCGACAGGTCGCTAGTTCCCGAGGTAAGACTGTTGCATACTGGTAATTAAGCTCATCGATTATTAAAATACAACTTAATTTAGCGATTAGTTTCCCTATGTTTACCGTGGAAATTGGTAAACAACCGCTGATCTTCCAAAAGGTTACTTATTTGGTGACTCGCAAGAACGATCAGATTGATCCTAAGACATGGTTGATTTTCTGGAGTTTGACTAATCCTAATGGTGATTAATGCCAGTAAAGTAAAGACACTTTAAGTAAATTGCATGAAGAAAAGCTTGATAGAATAAATAAAAGCGTTAAGTAAAAGGCTTCGACGGAGATAAGTAAATGAAAAGCGATAAAGTGCTTGAATATAAAAGACTTTGATTAATTTAAATGGTGTTTCACACATATATTCTCAACGATTCTTTCGCTCACGCTGGGTACTTGAATCTAGATGAGTGACTTGTATAAAATGATGAACACACACCAAAACTACGTGAACAACTAGTATTTATACTAAAACAAATCCTAAGTAACCGTTGGGCTGTTACGTTGCTTCGAGATGACGCCACATGGCACGCTCACAACATTCGACGCTCCTGTTCTCGACACGTTGCACTTGGTAACTGCTGGGAACCATTTTCCCTCCAACAATTCAAATCTCAAACCGTTCGACCTTGGGAATCAGGTACCTTTATCGAGAGGTTCCTTCGACGTCGAAGACAACAAGATTCCCGCTTAAAGGAATTTCTCTAAGTATCTTGTCACTCTCTGATGAGCCTTCGACAGGATCAGCTGGTCGAAGCCTTCTTATGTAGGAAACTCTTATGACTCATAATTAATGGTCTATATTGATAACAAACAAGGGTGTCGAATTTAGGAGCCAACAAATTTCCCCCCAGGAATGTCTTATTTCGACACTAAAAAGAAAAAGGCATTCTTTGAGATTCCACTCGACACCTGTCCTTCACTCTCAGCCACAAATTAGTTTGTGCGCTTTTCGTCTCCTACCAACCAACTGACAATCTCAAAAAGCCATCATTCCACCTGTTCCCAAGACGTCACTTCAGTAAGGAGTTTGGCACACCCAATGTCCTTTCACACATTGTCATCATGACTATTTCCCGAAATCGAGGACGCACGCTGCACCGCTTCCGTTCTTCAGAACGGCTACATCACCAAATGAGCGCCACGTGCCCCACTCTTGTCTGAGACATTAAATGACCTCGAGTCTTGTGATTTTCCAATCACTATAAATAGCGCTAAGTGCCCCTTGTTGGACTCTTTACGCTTTCCTTCATCCAAGCCTTAAGTCGAACAAAAATTCCTGAAAGCAAACCTTTGCTTCTTCTTCTCCAAACCCAGAAACTTTTGTTCTTCACCCATCTTCATCTCAAACCAAAAAATGGCCTCACGTTCTCGTTCTTCCAATGTCCCCACTTCTAGCACTCCCTCTAAAACTGCTCAACCGGTAATCTTTTCAACCGTTCCAATAGTTAACTCCATGGGAATGCGAAGGGTTCCCGAACCCATGGGAGATGTTGAGCGTGAAACTTATTCTTCTCAACTGCTGATCCCTGTTGGATACTCCAACCAGGTTTTCGCCATGTCCGGTCCTCTATCTGCATGCATTGCTGACCCAACGAAAATCGAGGATTTCTTCCCTGTGCATGAGGCACTCAAGCCCATTGGGTGCTCTAAGAAGGCAACAGAAGATACCGAAGATCCTGCAAAAGAAAAGATAGATCTCCGATT